AAATGTGATAAAATTAAAAGAAATATGCATTTTAAATGTCTACAAAATACCCAAAACAATACTAACCGTAACAGAACTCGAAGTGGGTCACTATATCGAAAGTTTGTTTGGGGTCAAAGGTAGATACCCTTAGGGTCCGCTAACAGGTGCTAATTGGACCCTAAGTTGCACTCATGTTTCTAATTCGAGGCGTGTTTGTATAAACAGTTATGCACTATCATCGGTGATGTCGCTGTAGTTTTGTGAAAAATTTTTTGGACAATCAATTTTGTTGACATACTACATAGGTTAAATAAATATAGAACATTCATTGATTAAACATTTGACTAATGTTAAAATTAGATAACATGTGGGTGCCTTATATGATTTATTTACCATCGTAAATAAATCATGCTATATTACCTATACGTTCCGCCGCGTGTTATACAATACCGCGATTAGTAAATTCTTTGCCTACCGACTTTCGAGACAGTAATACTCTCAATAATATAAAATTTAAACTAAGAGCATATTCTTCTGTTCAACCTTGTTATACAGCAGAGTATTAATGTCAATACTTTTTATTAGGGAATGAAATGTAAAGTGCCGCACACTTACCTTGTGGCACTAAAATTCTTAACTTTTTGTGTGTATTTGTATGATAATTAATATTTATTTTTATTTTGTATGCATCTTAGTATGGCAAACAAGCTGACAGCCCACCTGATGGAAAGTGGTAATCGTCGCCTATAGACATGAGCAGTACCATGTACATAACAGAGTATACTGTTTCGCTCCTGATAACTCCCATGCGTTGCCATTTCTGAGGGCTCAGGTGTTATTCTTAAGACACACAAGAAATAATGTGTGATCTTTGACTAAACAGTTTAAAGTATGAAAATGAAGATACTGAATTTTTATTTTTATAGATTATCAGAATTCTTTATTCTGTAAAAGATTATGAGAAAGATTATTGTAATGATAAGTGTTTTTACTTATAAAGTTCCAAATTCCTCCAAGTGCCAACAGCGTCCATCATCAATATATTTTAATGGGTTTGCAATTATTTGTCATAATCATATTTTCGGATAAATCTCCCAAATCTAAATTTTAAGCTTAAGTGTCAACACTGTAAGAAATTTTTAAAGTACAATTGAAGAAGAAGACTAAACAAAATATGGATGGATTGCGTGAAAGACGAGACGTGTGCGAAAGCAATAAATATTTCACAAATGACGGCTGATTGACAGAAATGGAAATGGAATATAATGTAGGTACTCGTATATCCAAGCATGAATCCATCAGGCTGGTTTTGTATATATTTTCGAATTTAATTTTTTTTTTAAATTGATCCAATTTTTCTCAATTATTGATCAAAAGGTTTTAATATAATTTATTTACCCATCAAAGAAAAAGAAAGTGAAAATTGTCTTTGTAAAAACTAGATCAATAGATACTCTTTATTGATTCCTCCTAAAGATTACAGTAGTAAAATTTTAATAAATATATACAAACAATTTCAGAATAGTTTAAACTTTTAAACTAGTTCAAACTTTGAACAAAGACCATAATTTTATAGTTTACTCACTATAGAGATTGAAAAGTAACAATTGTAACAAATAGTAACGTTCTGACAAATTACAAACAGTTAAAATATATTTCTTATTAATAGTTATTTAGCTATCACTCCGACCGAATCTAATAAAACCAATAATCAAATAGCCAATAATTGCGGTTACGACCCCATGCCCCTATAGTTCGCAATAATTTTTATGAGGTTTTGTCTTGTTTCGTCAATGTGGATTGAGATCAAAGCAAGTTGGACAAATCATTAGATATCTCGAAACAAATATTTCTATGGTATCTAGTAAAATATATGATCATGGAATATTGTGAATTGTTATAGAATTAGGATGTAATAATAAGAGAATGTTTTACTACACATATGAAATTAATATCCATTTAATTTTTGTATTTTTTCTTTTTACTTTCATAGGTTATTTATTTATTTATTTATTTATTTATTTAACTCTTTATTGCACCATAAATAAAAATATACAAGTGAATAATTCAAATGAAATACAGTAACATAAATACAGATGTAAATATACACATAAAGGTACAAAAGGCAGTCTTATCGCTAGAGCAATCTCTTACAGACAACCTTTAGTTAAAGGAGAACAGATAGAAAAGGACAGGTGGCGCAAGAGTGAATTAATAATTTTCGTGCATAAAATACAAAAACATGTAATGCACAAAAATATCAAATACATATAATTTATTAAACTACTTACTATAACAATATATATACATATATATACACATACACACACACACACACACGCACACGCACACGCACACGCACATATACATACACACATACATATACATATATAACATACATACAAAATACATAAACATACACATATAAATACATACATAGCATACACAAGGAAATATGACAAATCTAGTCCAAAAATTATATCTGGTAAATTGTATATCACTGATATTATAAACTATTAAGAATATTGGTTTATTTTTGTTTAATATATTTATTTTATATGTGACAGTATTAACTATCGACACTGTTGCATTGGTCGTAAGTACAAATACCCATAATTTAATGACTATTTATTTCTTTAATGGACATAACAGGACTTAGAGTACAATAAAATTTTATCAGTAGTGTATTGGACAACTTTGTAGGGAAGCAATGAAAAGAATGAACCAGATCGACCACCTATAATGATGGTGAAAGGCCAAGTGTGGCTTGTTAACGAACAAATCGCCCAGATTCGAGAATTTTATAGGGTTTTCTTCTAACAAGAAATCGATGGAATGTTTTGTAGCTTAGATAGTTCTATCACACATTTAAGAGCTATCAAAATTACCACAATTCTTTGGATATCTCTTGTATATTTATGAGGCGTTTTAATTGAACTGTAATAGTAAAATTTGATTTTATCTCTTTCTTATCTTACGACATACTAGGAATCTCTTATTATTGTCTCATGAAATATTTTCATTATACATATATTTAATATTATGTTTTGAGTAGGTATGTTTGTACTTACCTATCAGTTAGACAAGACAAGACTTTAATTGTACCTATATTTTTAAATGGATAGAGGATTATTTAAAAACATCACTGCTCTTTATCATCAATAGTAAATGTACTTAATTAGAATTCAAAGCTACTTTATTCATGTCACACTTAAAAAAAATGTGTATAAAATTAAATAAATGGCTACTTGATAAGATCAATGAGATACTAAAATTTGACGGTATGACAGCATTAAACATAACCATATGACTTGACTATAAAGTATATGGCCACACAGTATTTAATCTGAATCAATTCTATTCGTTGATTCAGTACTATGCCTGCTCAAAATATGTAGATCATAAAATCAACGAAGTCAACCGTTTAAAATTTATGTCTTGTTCATGCCATTGCCCTCACCAAACATAATAGGTAACAATATTTTTATTATGGCAAATAGTATGACTTAGGATTGTTAATGAATAAATGGAACGTGCCATAGAGAATAGGAAGATATATAATAAATATACATGTTAATGATGTATAGCCAATCCTGTTACTGAATACAAGTTGAATACAAAAACATCTGATTAGGGGCATCCTGAAAAAGTTGACACAGTGCAAAAATATATAAACATGTTACGTAGATTTTAATTTATATTGAAAAGAGTACACTAAAGATATCTGTGATGTATTATAATAAATATATATAAGTAATAAATATATACCTATGATATAATTTTTTTATCAACAAAAAGAAGCAGGATCTCAATTGGGTATTAATTTAATTTTTAAGTTTATTTTTTATTTTTCAATTTATTAAATATAATCTATCTATTATATACATATCTTACATCTACGTGCTACAAATATCAAAAACAAGTCCTTAAAAATTAAGTTAAGTTTGTTACCTAATAACTCCATCATTTCTAAATAGATAAAGATTTTCTATTAAAAACCCGTCTATAGGTACCTACAAGTAGTTATAAATAAGTAGTTATAAATAAGTAGTATTATAGACAATAACGAATATACTGCAACCCTAATGGTATTCTTCACGTATTGTGATCCCTGAGAATTAAAGTCTCTTTCTCCACATCTAATTCTAAATTTTATGATATTTTTTTTATGTAGAACCGTATGTAATAATCTTAGTAATTTAATAATAGTGTAATAGTTTTAACAGCAACGAGGTACATTAAAGATCGTGATTTTTAATTAGCTTATATGGATAACTTTTGTCGTTTATTTCTGTGTATATTATTTAAGAACAATGATGACTTTAATAATGTAGTAATGTAGTAATGATTTCTTGGTCTGTAGTTAAAAATGCATATAATTTGAATAGGCAAAGCGGATCTACAATGCCAAGTAGTGGACTTATATTTTACAATATTATAATATTAAATAATAAAGTACCTAATAATAATAATAATATAGTTATTTTTTCTCCATATAAATTCTCAAGCTAAACCTATCAATTGTATTTTTTCCTAATTTGTTTTTTGTAGTTTTGTGTAAAACATCACAGCAGAGTAAGTAAGCAAAGCGTAAGTACAAATCAAATTGTTTAAAAAAATTAATGAGGTAATAAATATTGATACATTATATACATAAAAGAATTCTGTAATTCGATATATAAAAAAAATACATCTATTTAACTTCCATCAACACAAAGGATCTACTTTACACAAAATTGGAAATAGGTGAAAAATATTTATTTAATTAATTAATTAGATCTGTCAAAGCACATCATCTCCATAGAACAGTCAACAGTACATATTTGTATAATTATTTACATAAATATATTTTAATAAAAATGAAATAATGTGATATGTGTGTGTTTAGATAATACTGTTCAGCATACAAGTTGCACAGTGAAAGCTTATTATTTAATTAGTAAGCATTTTCTTAGTATATTAATATTAGTGATTCCGCTTTAAAAGCCATGGATGCCTATAATGACCAGTCTGCTAAAGGCAACATACACACACGGGCGTACGGGCTACGCGCATGCTCCGTGCGGGAACACAGCCCTGTCAAGGTGCGCGAACGGTAGATTTGAATTTCGAACTTAAAAAAATTAAGGACTTTAAAGAATATATTAGCTATAGTATCTATGATATTAAATTAACCTGTACGTAAACAAATTGGCGGGAAATATATTTAATAAAAAAAATTGTTTGTGATTTAGGTTATTTAAAGGAAATGTTTAGGTAAGATTTTTGTTTTTAAAAATATTAGGTAATTATTAAAGATACACTAATATTTTTGTTAGTTAGTTAATTTTTGATACGAATTTGACGAGTTTATAAAAAAAAAAAACATTGTATATAATAAAGTTATTTTGCCTCTGTCGGTATATGAGGGTAATTTAATTAACTGAAGAACAATAAATATTATTGTATAGTACTTCTACAAATATTTTACATGGAGAAGTGATTTTTTTGTTAATAATTGTGTCTCTATGATAAAAGTAATCACGCGTGGCTAGTTATTTTTTACTTTAAACAGAATGATAAAATGCGGTATGTACCTAATTGAATCGATTAAATGATATTTAAAAGAATCGATTAAATGATGGAATCATTTATTAGCTCCCAAGAGAAGGTTTTTAATGTGAGGTCATTATAATTTGTAAACATGCATCGGTTCATGTCTAATCTCATATCTCATGTAAAGTTATCAATTGATGTTTTGTATCTGTTGATTTGGATTGATTAAATGACTGATTCAGGTTTTGTAGTATGCATAAGGAAATCTCAGTCAACAGTATCATTTTAAGAATTTTTTTTCAATGTATTTTTTTGGGTTTTTTTTTCGAGAAAGATACTTAGTTAGTAACACTAATTTGATAATTAGTCTTTGAAACTTTAAAAAGGGGAATATTCTTTCCTAAAAGTCGGCAACACACCTGTAGTTTCTTTAGTATTGTGAGCGGCGGTAATGATTTACCATCAGGTGAGCCACATGCTCGTTTGATTTTGTGTTATAAAAAAAAAGACTCGCGGCGTTAGTAAGTATGCTAGGCTCTCTCTCTATATATATATCTTATATTTAAATGGAAAAATTGTACAATTTTGCTGATAGAATTTAAGATGTAGTGTAACGTGAAAGGATTATAAATATTTCGATTTCATTTTACAGGATATATTATTATACAATCTCTGTTTCACAATAGAACACAATATTGTGAAATTACTTTATTATCAAATCATTTAGTTAGATATTTACTACTACAATATAACCTACTCGTGAGTTAAATTTCAAGTAAATTCGTTCAGCCGTTTATGCGTGATTGAGTAACAAATAAACAAACATTCAAAAATCTTTACAATCTCAAACAACTCTATCTACATCGTATCCATAGTAATGAATTCCCTTCATTCCAAAGTTATACATGTGGCCTATAATTCTAATTATTCCCTGAAATGTGTAGCTGCTGGCTACATTCTGATTTCGGTGACTCACTTCTTACAGCGAATGTATTGTTTGTTTGATATCTTAGTACTTCCGCTTTATTTGATTGTTGAATTAGTATTCATATTTTGAGGTTCTACATCGACTGATCTTAATCCAGAAAAGTGTATATCTACGTTTCTATTTACTAAACTATTTATTTTAATTCGATATTATGTAGGTAAATGCACATTTTATACTTACGTGTACGTAAGTATATATACCGTCGCATGATCACTGCAATTAATTTGTTAAATCGATAAATAAGTACCTAATAAAATTCTGCACTACTTGTGTAAGAGTGTCAGCCTTAGGAGTCAAGAGTTTCAAGGTTGTTTTCTTTATACACGAATGCTTATGGCTTGGCTTACCAGAAGACGGCTTTACATGCCCTCCGAAGCATGAAGCAAGCAATAATAGTTTTTAAATGATCTAAACATAATATTGACAATTCAGAGGTTTATATTAGGACTTTGAATCCCCACACAGCAGTCAAGTGTACTGACCTACTACTACGATGAACCTCATATATTTATTTATTTGTTGCAGGTTAACGGTTCAGTTACCGTGGACAAGAAAAAGTTTAAAGATGGATAATAATGAAGGAACAGGAAATAAATTTGTAACTTTATGTTATTAATTGCATGAAAATTAAATGTTTTGTATTTGGAATATGAATTATACTTGGGATTATTTATCTATAAAATGGACAAAGATATATTAAATATAGAAGACAGTAAGAGTATAGCGTGACGGCAAAAGATGGAGAAGAAGAAACGTACGTTTTGGAAAAAAATAATTTGGTAAGTTTTTAATGTCACACCGTTGAATTCACCAGGTTTTCATCAATCACGATGGTTTCCAGAAGGTATTTTACTCCATAATGTTTTATGTACTACGGAACATAGATTGACCACTGAATGTTTAATAATAGTCACGTTTCTAACGTATCCATTATGCAGGCTTTTTCGTATATCATAATTATAAGGATAGGTATGCCCTGCACCATATGTGCTTTATTTACGTTTATTTATAAAAACTGCATTCTTTCTAGTGCTATAAATAGATTTGTATTCCTGCGAATAAAGCTATACATATTAACGAGTTTAAACATCAAAGTAAAAATAACACATCGCTCTATAAAGACAAGATACTTTATTGATGAAAACTTTTCAGTCATTATTTACTAACTCTAATTTCAAAATTTATCTTCAGAGAATTTGGCTTAGTAAGACGAGTGACTTATTTTCTATACAATTTGTAATTGTCGCAGGAAAATGAATATATTAGACATTTCGTGAAATACCTAAGTTAACAATGAAATCACAGATGTCGAATATTTTAAACTGTTACGTCTTTTTTCTGGAAAAAGTTAATGACACTCGTATGACAAAACCTTATCAGACACATTGTTTTCTTAAACTAAATGTACTAAAATAACTAAGAAAAATCTTCTAATGTGAATTTTTATTAGGTAAAAGTTAAAATATCAATTCTTTTTCCTATTTGGATGTTTGTCTCCGCATATTTTACCGGTATATTTCCCTAGTAAATGTGTCTACAAATTTAGTAGATTGAATTTTTTGTAAGTAGTATATTTTTCCTTCCATATTGTACTAGATTTTTATATTTTGTCATATATGATTATTTTTCTGCGACTTTACTAAAATATCAGTAGGTATTCAAATACACTTAGAATATATACCATTAGTAAAGTAATCAAAAGTACTTGTAGTTTTTGATTGTATACAATTTTTACTAAAAGGATTTATTATATGTTCATTGTGTAGTGAAAGTGTTTCTTACCAGACGGTTGTACAATAACTCAATACGCAATAAATCAAACGGCTGGTAACTTTACGAGGTTTTTGTATGGTGGCACTATCTCACTTTGATGGTTACCTAGCAGCGAGTAATATGTTGTACCCATATAGCAGTTGCATGGCAACATGATCATTTGTAGGTATATCAGAAGTTGTGTTTACTGTTTCATAATGTTGATGATGTATGTGTGATCAAAGTCAAGGGAACAGCCAGGAAGTCTAGGTCAATGTTTTATTATTTGTATTATAATAATATTGATAAAACAATTTTTTTTTTACACATCTCGAAATGCCAAATAGAAATCGTCAATTTTGTTTAGGACTCAATTTTAATTACTTTGAAATTTTATACATATGTACTTACAAAATTAAAAAAAAAGACGGATAATTGTTTTTTATTTGTGTTAGGTACAATACTGGGAATGTGCTTATTCTAATTATGAGAAATTTTATTTGAACTTTTTTACAACACGGGGTGCAAACGAGCATGCGGCTCACGATATGGGCGGCGGTAAGCGATTACCGCCGCCCATAATCACCTAAAAATTGAGTTTAAGAATTATAAATTGAGTTTAAGAATTTAAGAGCAAGAATTCAAGAATTACCTTATTCTTAAGATATAAGGCTTGAAAAATAATCTAAAGGCTCTAGTAAATAATACCTAAAATAGTAAATTTAAATAAATTATCTACCTAAAATAAGAACTAGAATTAGGAATTATAATGAATACATGTAGAATATGTAAATATTATAGCATAGAATTCGCTGTGTAGTACTGGATTAGATTTTGGTCAACCCTTCCTTTCCCGTGGGTGTCGCAAAAGGCGACTAAGGGAACTTAATAGTCGAGGTATTGGCAGCAACGTCCACTTAAAAACATGCCCTAAAGTTTAACTGCGGTTGCTAACTCTCTTGCCAAGCGCAGCAACTACTAGCCCTCTTATGGAGGAGCCCTATGTTCATCAGCGGACAATTAAAGGCTGATATGATGATGTACATAGTATTCAATTATAATTTTGAAATATACCAAGTCAGTGGGTTCGTATGTAAACACTATGTAGTTCACGCTACATGAAGTACACAATGTACTAATTGCGCACACAATGTCGGCTACAGAAACATTTGTCCACAATAAATATTATTACGTGAACTCAAACGGTAAATCTTTTTTCTCTTGACTACTTGAAGCTCCTCTGAGAATAAAAGTAAACAGAAATTATACGCTCCATTCAGCACGGAGCGAGCACGCTGACTCAGGTTTAAAAAAATAAGGTCAAGAGCGGAGTTCAGTATCCTAACGTTGTCCTGACTAACTACATATGGACTCGTTCGTATAGCGGTTAACTATCTGTGAAAAATAAACTTATACTTTTTTATTGCTATCCATACGATGATTTTTAAGACTAACAAATTAGCTCTCAATTGACCAAATTGTTTGTTTACGTTTAAATTGTTTACCTAATTATTAGCTAATAGAGAGCGTTAAAGCGTGAGTCTATGGTGTAGTATACAGAACGTTCAAATATGTTTGCTTTGTCCATAAATAGTTTTGTAAAATAACAGCAGCAGATAATCCTGGTTCATGGCTGCTCTTGTCTAGAAAAGGGTCATGAAACCTTGTTTATCATGCAGGTTCATCGCAGATATGAGTAGAAATAAGTAGTAGGTAGAGATGAGTAGATTATAGTCACGACTGATCACAATACTATCACACACACACACACGCACATCACGGCCACAGATAAGTCGATAGTTCAACTATAACTACCGACTTATTTGTGACTAGCCATACCCTACGGGTTCGCCCGTAGTCGTGATACTGAATAATCTATAATCTTCCTTAAGAAATGATCTATGATATCCAAAAAGAAATTTTCAAATCTGACTTGTAATTCTAGAGTTTAGCGTATTTACATTACTAAAAGTATAAAATACGTTAAGATAGTATGAGAAATTACCGATTGAGAGGTCATGAGACAACATTTATTCTCAATGTTTTATAAAGTTATTGATCAGTGCCAAATTTTGAGCGTGACTGTCTCTTGATCACTTCCATGATTTGTTTTACATGAATAATTTTGTTATTTACAAAGGCACCGCCTATCTATTTTTCAGTTTGCTTAACCCTTGACTGGTAGACCTCACCTTTCGGTGTCAAATTCAAGTAATTATCCATATGTATACAAATAAATTATACTGTACACGCTAGTATAGTTTAATAAATTAAACATCCTTATGATAAATAAATATGATCATAACCGTAATCCCTAATGGGGTAGTCGAAAGTATTTATGTTACCGTATAAATATTAAAATTATTTGTATACAATTTACAAAGTAAATAAGTATACAAGACGTTTCTGAAGCGGAAAATCATTTTGCCACTGTCAGTTCTGTTATTGAAAGTAGCACCTCAGGGCGAAGTCTTAACTATTCGTTCATAACTGTTTGTGGCGGTGTTAAATTGTAACTATTCATATCTTCCACTGCGCCAATAATTGCACGACAGCTGTGTTTACTGGTCATCTATTTTATCACGTTTTGTTTAATGCCAATTTTTTAATTTTCATTAAAATTTTATAAAAAAAATATTGAAAATTACGTTACTAGTTGTTCTTGAGAAATTTTAGATGAAGTTACATATTTTATATTTGTTCTTGAATTCACGTATATCATTAGGAAATTTTATCCAAAGCCTAATAGTTAGGTCTTTAAAATACGGACTAACGAAGGGGTTCCTATTCCGTTTTTATGATCTTGCGTTTGATGTATTTTGATAATTTATGATTTAGCATTGATGATAAGGATAACATAGTTTAATTATAATTTTTACTTATAAATCTATAACAATTCAATTGGAGTATACCGTAATATTTGTGACCAGTGATATTCCTACTGCTTAGCATATAAGATGTCTCGGATTAGACTCCCGCTTGGGCCAGTTAAGTAAACGAAATTCTATGAATTAGTCCGGGTTTAGATATTCTAGAATGTACCCCAATTCAGAACACCCAGATAATGATTCATACTCGCTTGAGGATTAGAGAATTAGTGTCATTGTGTGGCATTGATTATTAAAAAAGGCAAAAGCTGAGAAATTTTGTGGCATTGCATTCTGAAGTGAGCATATATAAAAAGTGACTGTTCAGGGTGATTATTATAAGCATTTTTGAATACTTACGTACCTTACTATGCTACTGTATTAGGTTGATTGAAACAGATCTTTTTTATTTAAAATTCGATCATTTTTGTTTATTATTGTATGTGTGTTTAAGTGCAATAAAGAATATTAATAATTAAGTTTACTTGAATAAAAATTATTGTTATTATTATAAAAAATAATAATGACAATACTATATACACCATTTAAGCGTGACAACTACTGTCAAAACCATTTCCTTTTGGGGAAGGTCTATGTTCAGAAGTGGACAGTTAATGGCTGATATGGTACGGTATACCAATTACGAACACAGTATGGGCAGTTTTCTAAGTAATTTATTATTCAAATGTTATTTTATATGGTTATACTCTCATCGCCTATCTTGCTCTAATTTTCTAGTATGCCAGAGGCAGCAACGGTGTAACTCCAATTAGAATATTGAAATATTTATTTTTGATTAAGTATGCACTATTTAACTGTTTAAAATTTATTGTGTGTTTTGATTTATATCTGTTTATAATCTGTTTAATTTGAGTAATGCCCCAATTGAAGTTTAGCAGCATTTATAACATAATATCCAATTATATTTATTATTATTAATTACTTTATTACTTATATTTGCTTTGATGACTAAGGTTTTGTTTTTAAATTAATAATTAATGAAATATGAAATAAAAAATCCAATTTATATAAATATATATGTATTATCTAGGTGTAATTTGTATAAATAAAAATAGGTCAATAAAAACTGATATAATATTTGGATTTGGATAAATTAGGAAATAATATTCTTTATAATTTCGGAGCTTGTTGGTCGTTATAGGTATTTATTATCAGCCTAGGTTGTAGATTTGGTGTCTAGTTCTGTGTGCACAGATTCTCAATTTTAGCAGCAATATATTTTCTGTAGGACCGTTGAAGTGAACAAGTATGTTTTGTTGTAAACAGCATAGTTTCATTGTAGTACATAGTATGTCACGACTATTTTTTATTTTGTTTAAAAATATTTAATAAAGCACTGTCAGATGGCCCTTATCGACAATGCATGTATTGTATATTTTTTAAAATTTTTATATACAGTATTTTTAGTAGAAAGTATTTACTTATGTTATCTTCAATATAACTCAACAAACAACTTTTTGAATATACTTATAGAAATATAAAGAAATTTATTTAGCTACTTAGCGTGTACATTTATTGGACATATTGAAATGTTGACTTGACATACTATTAACTGTTACTTCTTTTTGCGATGTCACTGAAGTATTTACTATTTCGAAAACTATTCAGTGACTTACGTATGTCATAAAGGCGACTATAAAAAATTCTCATAGGACAGTTGAGGGCGATGTGATTTTAACATAAAAATAACGGCGATCGGCACTTAATAAACCACTTAAGACGTTCATTAGTGTGTTCTACAGTCGTTCGATAGTTTTAATGCGAGCGATGTGGTGTGCATTCGGTGCTCTAACAAAATGTAACGTTCTAGCTCCGAAACGTCTAATGGAGATGTCAGATTGCGCAACGTGGTGAGAACTGCGTGGGCGCCGGTCAATCCAGGGCTGTCGACTTGCAACCGCGAAATTTCCGTTTGTATAGGAATAAACGCTTTTTGCGATGTTTTCTATCGAACTTTTGATGTTTTTTTATATTATTTTATTGATAAAATGTCAATGCAATCTCTGACTCAATAAGTTATATAAGTCTAGGTATATATTTATATTTCTTAGTGTACAAGTGTGTTATATATACATATACTATGATGTCACCCCTCATTCATTAGAAAATACTGTTTCTGTGATATTCATAGTGTAGTTATTTATATTTAACGATTGCGACATTTTATTCGATGAACACTTAATTTGTAGGTATGTCGTATCTAACTATATAAAAAATATAACATAATAGTGGTATAGTACATAATATAATTAATAATAGTCAACTCAGCTAGTCAAAGCTTCAATGCTTGAATCGTAGGAGATATTTGTGTTCTGTTTTTGGCGGGTAGGGATTAGTTATTGGCGGAAAAAATGTTCTGACATTAAAACAGGTTGATGATGTGACGCGATGTAGCGAATCTTTATGTAGGTATATATTTGACATAGACAGAATATTGCAATTTTGATGTTTTATAAAAAAAAATAGCTTAGAATATTTTTTTCTGTAACTATGTATAGTAGATTAAGCTTTTTATAATCTGAATATTTGTATGAGTGCCATGTTAATATTAGACACGAAGTAATTGAGCTTGTAATTCTTATTATCTGCTTAGATTTTTTATTTAGGTAACTTACAACACAGCCCTTTCGCAGCTTCGTACAAATTGAGAAAGTAAAGTAAACTGAAAAGACAAAGTAAAGGCATGTTATCATGTCGACCGCGTGGCGACCACCGGCTCATCCGTGTGTTGCCTTATGACCATCACTTGTTAACCACAGAACACTACATTCGTTAATAGTGTTGCCAGGGTAATATTATTTGCTTATAACCTATATATAGTGTTTGAATACTAAAAAAAATATATTCGTACTCATGACTTTGTTTTTGCGAAAATACATGTCGAAAAGAAAATAATGTAATTTCTTCACTTATGTCTTGTCTATTAACCTTTCGGAGTATTAATGTCTAGTATGGCATTTATAATTTACAGTGGTAATAGGTGGAAATTGTATGAGATATTAAATTATGATCTTCATTTATTTTTTACAAATTGAACAAGTTGTTTTAAATCGATTTAGCTGGCAACATCAGTTGAACAACTATAGTTTATTTAGACAATGGTTTCAACTTTAAGTGGATGTTGTTAGCTCATTACCTTGTACGTCTCGTGAGAGCATCGTGTGAAGTATCGTTATACCGACAAACTGTTTGCGGATAACGACGATAATTGCGGGTTTTCTAAGGGCTTTTTCAATGTGTGGTATTAAACTGTCGAATTGAGTTATTTCTATTTATCTTTTCTGTTCAGCTTTACTTTAAACGACGTTAATTGTATTATGTATTGTATAAAGAGTATTGGAATTAAACATCTTATTTATATTTTATCTTAGTTTTTGCTACTTATTTTCTTCTAATGTTAAAATGTGACACATAATGGATTCGCCAATCGCCATGAAATATGACATGAAAATAGTATTTAAGAGATTTGGAAATGAATAGAATTCATGCGGGGAATTATCATAAACAGTCTGGAAAACGAATTATATAATATTTTGTTCGTGAATTCGTTACCTTTCTGTGTCATTTTAACCGTAAATGTATATTAATGGTTCATATTATATATAATTAATTATGAAATACCCTTAATTGGTTTCAGGATAGCTGCGATTATTGAATTTGCGATGTTCACCAGGGCAACAAATATAACTACACTTCCACCGCAGGTATTATATTTCAATTATTACCAATTATATTTCATTTTATATCGAATTCTAATTAGTTTGTATTATTTAAATGTTTGTGAGCGACATAACCTGAAGATGTGGCCATAGGTTGGTCACATAGCCCAAAGAAACGACAATCCATGGGGAAAAAGGTTCTTAAATGGCGACCTCGTACGGGCAAATGCAGTGTTGGACGACCCCCTACTAGATGGAGTGATGACCTGAAGTGTATTGTAGGGAATTAGTGGATGTAAGTGGCTTAGGACCGTTTCTTATGTCTCTGGGGGAGGCCTATGTTTAGCAGTCGACAGATAACAACTGATACGATAATGATGATTTAAAAATTTTAATCTTTGTCACATTATAAAGGATCATTGGAATAAAATGCATTATAAATATTAAATTTTTTTAGGTAACAGAAGATAATCAAAGTGAAGGTTACGCATGGAGTTCTTGGGGCAGTTGGAGTCCGTGTTCCAGGAGTTGCGGTGGTGGAGTGGCAGTCCAGGAGCGCCAGTGTTTACCAAGGTTATAATTAGATTTTTTTTGTTCTTGTTCTACCCCTGATTCAACAAATATTTCGAATTCCGTTTATTTTTACTACTGTGTTTCGAAGAGTTTTAGTCTATATAGAAACCTTTTCTTATAGGAGACATGGAGACTCTTTAAGCGGCTTTAAACTTAAATTTTAAAATTAAGTTTATTAAGACAATTTCTAAATTTGCTAATGGATTTTTAATCATTTATTATGTTCTACATACATCGAAAGTTTATTTGTACGTCACTCGATATCTTTGTTAGTTAATTATCCCAGCAATATATAAACAGAGTTTATATTTCGTATTTGTCTCATATTAATTTAAAAATTAAATTTGCGAAACATAATTTTTAATTCTATTAAAATGCAAGTAAGCAAGTTTATTATTTTGTAAGGCTCAAAGAAGATACAGATTTTTGTAAGTACAGGCATTACATCGCCACGCTCCAAGCCGCTCATCAGTTAATGCCTTGTAATGTATTGTACATAAAAGCAAAAATTGTAAACACCTACCATTTATACGCCCATTACGGTAATTCGCTTTCGGCCGCGTCCACACCATGCGACCATCGTCGTGATCGTAAATTAAACGATCCATTTAGCCTAATCGTAGACGGCAAATTAGTAGCCGGATAATTTCTTAATAGACCTATGAAATTACAATGTACTTAATTTAAAATTATGATAAATATTTTATCATCAGTAATATCTTAGATGTTATCTGATGAATTTTCATACCAAAATTGAGATATTATGACCTTAAACAGATAGGTGTGAATAGATATGTGTCTACAGGTTTTAAGAATGTTACAACTTGTTTTATGGTTATAATTTATCTAATATTACATTATAACTGTTTTAGTGATTACAGTAATATTTTTGTGCTTTTGATTCTGTAATGATTTAGAATTGCCTAAAGCCTCTATTGTGAACCAACTGCTCAGCTTCTGTTGATCATGTGTGATTCACGTATGTAATCTTATGCAAAGTCATGCGCTTTACAATAACAATGAACATCCAATCATGAATATGGATAACGCAGTATATTCAATCGATTTCAAAAAGAAGGAGGCTCTCAGTTTGGTTATATTTTTATATTTGTTATCTTATAACTTAGTCAGTTGTATACCCATTTTGGAAAATTATTTTTTTTTTTTATCAGAAAGGATATACTTAAAAATTATTTCCATTGAAATTTTATTAAAATCGGTTCAATAGTTTAGTTTTTAAATCAAAATAACTAGTTTTGACACAACTGAAATTGGTTTTTGTGGAACACAGTCTTATAATCGACACATAGATTAAGAAAGATTCTGAGGAATATTCTTAAATTTTATAATATTATTTACGTAATAATATTATGAACTGTACGTATTATTAAAATAAAAATTTAACAATTTGTTGAATATTTTTCACTTTTTGCTTTAATGTAAGTTGAATAAGTATTTTAATACTTAAATTAGTTTCAAAATACCTTTATTTGTCTTTCCAAAAAAACTTTGTTATATTTATTTTTGCAAATTTAATGTAAAAAAAATTGCAGCTCAATATCTCATGCACAAAAATTCATGAGTATTTTTTAACATATAATAGAAATTGATAATATTCGATAAAGAATGTATAAAATTGAATAAAATAGACAATTTTCGCCAAGTGTAAACGGCGCAGCGCTCGCTAAGGGTCAAAAGGCTAAGCATGACCCTGGGACCTGCCCCGTACGGTTTTTATCGGCCAAATTAAGGTAATGGAAACCCCGTAGCGTTAAGCTTGTAACAAGCTGTTATTGTAGTTGGAGCATTGATTGCTTGCACTTGCCTGCTTGATTGACATGCATCACCGTCGATATAGTCGGTAATGAGCCCACGATTACAGCATATTCGACAAAGAAGACAAACTCTATTTTGTCTACATTTTGTAGTTACGTCTAATGAGAGATTACTTTGTAGCTCATTCATCTAAAGAATGTGTACGCAGTCAGAATGGTTTAGATGCTTAGTGTTTTTATTTTTTAATTTATGTTTACTAAGCTTTCTATGAAAGATGATTTTAGATACAGTATTATTATTTTAATACTTATATTTTTTACTACTCTTACTTAGAATACATTGAGAAACGTATTGGTCTCTCGACTGAATCACTAATCTTGATTAACTTTTCTAATTCTGATCAATTTTTCGTGTATAAATAGAGTTAACAAATGTATTCATTTTAAACTGAGTAACTGCAGGAGGATCGTTCCATTATATCGAATTAATTGGATTGGTATTTTAATAGATTGTTTTGATTTGTTACAGCTTCTTAAATATACATTGCTATTCATTATTCAATTGTCCGCGTTTTATTTAATGAGCTTTTTAATTATCGATCAACCCATCAATAACCTGAACAAAGTGATCCAACAAACCGTTATACAAGAAACTATTTACTTTGAAATGAATGCGCGCGACCCAAGATAATTGTTGCGTTCAAGGACCCAGGATTAATACGACCAGATATAGAGTGCTGTTAGATAGATAAGTAGGCAATCAAAATACCGTCGCTCTTAATTAGTAAGGGTGCCGGCGGCGTAATGCGTATGTTTGAAACTGGGACAAATCAGTGTAATGATGGTGTTATTTCTTTCTATACGTATTTTTTTTATATCGCAGACTTCGTATTTTCTTTATACTAGTGTCCTAGGGTTTCACTTATACGAGCTCATTACCTATCGTTGTCGTGGAAAATTTAAATCGATATTGTTATTTTTAATGATGAATTTTATTTTAAATAAATAGTTATAGATACGTTTTTAATTATTTTTTCTATTTAGGGTGAACTCTAAATAGTTAACACTTTTCACGTTTGAAAAATAAATTTAAGTTTAGCCTTAAAAATCGAAATGTTTCACTTTTTTTTACTATCAATGTTTATTTTAAAATATGGCCAATTATACTAGTACAACACTTTCTTTCAATCTTTGTATTAAATTTTCAATGATTTGCGTAATGATTCAAATAAAATATATTTGTATTTGTAGTTATAAAAATAATAAACTATTGTTAAATTTTCTATTATAAATTTAATAAAAAGTGAAATCTGTGATCTTGCAAATGTATAGAGTAAGGTAGCGCCTTAAGGTATTTAATAGCTTACAGGTGGGTCACATAATTAAAGATTATGTTTAACAAAAAAACCGTCTTCAATTGTGGCAAAACCAGTTATTCTGATTTATAAACTATGGGACAAGTTTGTAAGTATATGCTTTCAGATAAAAAAAAGAATTGTCAAATCGGTTTATAAGCGACGGAGTTATGAGGTAATATTAATTTTTTTTTAAATCAAATACACCAGAAGTAAATAACAAAAGATAGTATTTGATAATTATTTGTATGTAGATATAGCGCTACAGTATTTTCAGTCATGTCTTTTAAATCTTATTTTTTGTATGTAGCAAGTACCAAAGTGCTTAAATAAAATTCTTTCACCACAACATAAAAAAGTATCCTGCTGGTAGTGCTCGTATAACATCCTCGACAAATTAGGATCATCGTCATTTGTCATGAACTCTTATACACAGACAGTGTACACATTTCATTAGTCGAGCAATAAAGCGAGAATGAAATATTACTTATATTCTGTTGCTGGACGATGTAATTTGAATCAGTATTTATGACCTCAGAAGGAGCTAGCTTTAAATATCTTCATGGTCTAATATGTCTATTTATGTATCTCTTGATGAAAATTTGATTGTCTTGTTTTATTGCGGTGTGTATGACAATATCTATTTATTGTTTTATTTTATTATTGGCCTTCAAAATTCACGCCATGATTCAAACACAATTTGTAGGTACTTTATATTCATTTTGAATTTTATTGCAAGAGAGATTGCGTATTTAAAATAGTAAATATCAGTATATATATAAACTAATTTATTGCCATAAAGTATTGTATTAATGTTATATTATAATTACCCGTAATTGTATTTAGGTTTGGACATAATATATTTATATCATATTTATAAAATGTTGATTCGGGAAGCTACTAGAATAGTAATATAGAGTATCTTATTGACATCTTTACTATTATATATACTGGTTAACTTGGTATCGACATTTGCAACCATTTTGTCAATCGATTTAAAACAAGTAAGTGGTTCGCACTAATTTTGTTCCGAATGCCGTAATTTTTTTTTGAATAAATCTTAAATTATTGTTGAACGAACGGGTATATGGAATTTCAATAATAATAATAAACTCTCACTGTATTTTATAAAAAAAAAATGTTTAAAATCTTGTTTCTGAACCTCCACGGTTTAGTTGGAGCGACGCCTACGAGCTTTGTAGTCTAATTAGGTTTATAAATCGTGTTTATTAGCATTAAAGGATTAGTTTAGTGTTGAAATAAGATCGCAATTTTGTTAGTTAAAACTAATTTTACGACGTGTTAATAGAGAATATTTAAACCATGAAATTATAAAGCTACATATGATTATTTAACATATCTTCGTGTAGCAAAATCTGTCTAAGGTATTCATTGTTACTCAAGTACTTCATTTAACGAAAAAGCCGCGGGATACAAATAGTATAAAAATACCTATCCTTAATAAATTTGTTCATTAATTTATCGAAGACATTTAATTACTTGTATTGTGATATAACATTATTGAGACTGGCGCCAAAGAACACCACACGACCTATTGACGCGGTCAACTTATCTTATGGACGCTTTAAGTATAGACACCAAGTGGAACTAATCATTACCACGTGAACATGAATATTCAAACACAAGTTTACATAAAATTAATGTATACGTCCTGTTGCGAGTCAGGAACATTTGACTCTCAACTAGGGCTGTCATTCGTGAGTGAGTCGAATTTAACGAATTTTGAAATTCAAAACATTCTTTTTCAAAACACAAACAAACACGGGATGTTATTCATTCATTTCGAAAACATAATTTGTTGTTTTTGTTTAAAGCGTTATCCCATTCTCGTGTTAGTGACAATTTCTAACAAAAACAGGCTTGCTCTGGACCCATCTTAATGCGTTTTAATAATACAGGGCTTTGTGGTAGCTGAGGGAATAATAATGCTTTGTTCTGGAATTTGATATGATGACAGCCCTGACTCGAAATAAAATGTGAACGATTTACTCAAATGCTAATTGTCTTCTTATTTTAATATCACTAAATTAGATTAACGCGTTTGAAGCTATTTGTTACCTGGTTGATTTAATTACAGGATCTTTTATGTCATGCCGCTATGTTGAATTTTTTATATAAGTCGTTTCGTAATGAGATTAAAATTTATTGTAATAGAAATATTATAGTAGAAAGTCTTTTTCACATTACTATCTCTGTGAAAGTAAAGCCAATATAAGTTTATCATTGTATTCTTGTTCTACATACATACAATATTCTTTTTATATTAAATATATTAATACTCGTACATTCAGTCTTACTGTAAAACTAAGAGATCAGCATTTAATTTTTAAATACATTTAAAATTATACGTACCACTTGTTTTTTAATTAGTAAACTGAAAATTCCATGTCTATATACATATATAACAGGAAATAAAGAAACTAACTATGTATTTGTCGTTTCCGACTATTGTTTTGCCTTGCACTCGCTTGTGACGCAAAGCGCGAAATGCCCTCTGAAGAAGATTTCCGGATGAAGTTAAAACAGTTGTCAGAAATGACAAAAACACAGTGAGTCCATTAATTACCTGTTACATATGTATATAGATATCAATAAAAAATGAACATAAGTTTAAAAATAAAATTGAAAATTATATTTATAAACGAACCCTATAATGTATTTAAAAAAGGTATTTTCTAAAGCTCTTTAAATATACGAATCCCTGAAGGTAACGTTTCTAAACAAAAATATTAAAAACAACAATTAAACATCTTGTTGCTTGTTTTTTGTTTCAGATCAAATAAATTAGCACCAAACACTACTTTGGAACCACCAATAATAACTGTGAGAATCACAAGGGAGGCACAGACTGACTGTTTGGGAGTTGACAAGAGATATCACGAGTGCAATACCGTTGTAAGTATCTACTCGTATAATACTGGAAAACTGGAAGTTAACTTACTAGTATCGTTTCCAACAATTGTCTTAATTTTTTCCGGAAGTCTTGCATTGCTGCTTCGCAAGAACCATTCTAACCTTGAAAATATAATAGACTTCTAGATGAAATCGGTAATGATAAATGTATATATATATATAATATTAAAAAATATTCTATTGCAGTATAGTATTTTATTGTACACAGATTTAGATAGATTTGGAATATGATCAGCTGAATACAGTTGACATTTATTTTGCGTAGCTACTGTGTCAAACCATTTCCATTTACTAACGGTGTATACATTAATATAATTTTAATGGTCTAGCAAATGAAATCATATAAAGAGAGATTTTATATAAACTGCCATTATTTATTTATAATGCGTTAACAGCCAAGTTGGACTCATTGACCCAGTGTCGGTCTATGAGATTAAGTGTCAATCAGAACATTAGGTTTTTATTATTGTTACATCTTGGCACCTTTACGGTTCAACCAATCATCATGAAATTAATTTATATATAGTATGGGTAATAAAATGAATGAACAGAACATTAGAATTATTGTTGTTAAAAATTATTAGTTTTGATAAAATTGTAATATCAAATAACAATAATTTTCATCAAGCTGAATATAAGCAATGAATATGACAGCTCAGGTTCGCACGGTTTATTGAAAATAAAATGATGCGTATGTTATGAATTTTTAAAATCAGTTAATTATTTTTTTACTTTATCTGTTATAAACAAAAAATCTAATTATTTCTCTTTATAATATTAATTTAAATTCAAAGTAAATATGGTGTATAATTTGGAAAAATGAAATAACATTATAGAATTTTATCGTTCTGCAGTTGCGATACAATTTGTAATTAAATTTAATAAATTAAACTCATTAGTCTAAAAAACACTATTTATTGGATTAATTATACAACAATGTAATTCTCCCACGTTAACTAAAACGAGCTAAGAAATAAGCCGCAGTGATTTGTTCAAACGATACGGCATTAGAGGTTAAGCAGCCACTCAATCTACTCTAATAAATGATTTCTGATTTACGATTTCATGCCTCGTAAAATGTTACCATGATTACTATTGTTCAGTCTATGCAGTTACTACTCGTTTATGTAAACCTATTTATGTATTAGAAATGTGGCGATTTTCTGTACATATTTTAAGAATAATGTATACTCGTAGTAATAAGTAAAGATGACCCTATCAAAAATCACACGCACTTACACATTTTCATATCATTTAGTCAAGAAATAAGTTCATAAGCCACACTATTATAGTGTTTTCTATATACTCCATTAGTGCTTTTTAACCTTTTTATGACACGACCCCCCCCTATTATAAAAAATATATCGCAACCCCCGACCTTTTGCTTTTTTTTTCACATATTTTATAATGTTGCAAAGATGTTGTAGTGATTTTTTTTATTTTTTTATCTTTGCATGGACGAGTCATAGATTTTAATTTTTTAGTTTATTTGTATTTACATACAAATGTTTTAATTATTATTATTCTTAATAAATCTATCTTTATAACTTTGGTTTTTTACGGAGGTAGTTTTCACGATTCTCCTATACTATACTACAGTGTTCTACAGAATACGGTCATGCCAAATGTTACGTTCAATATAAAAAAAACAGTTGACGATTTCATCGTTTATTTTCTATATATTTTGCTAACACTATCGTAAAAAATATTAATACGAACTAAATAAAATATTAGCAACAGATAATATTTAAACCCTAAAATAAATTATATTATAATAAATAGATAAATAGCATCTACAATCAATGTATATTACTGAGGATATATTTTTTATTTCAATTGTCGAGAAAAAATACAACATAATTTAAGCATTTGATGATTTAATTAGGTAGTTATACTCTGTCCTGTTACGTTTTTACTATTTTATACCGGTGTATTCATGCACCTGAGTAAGGTATATTGATTGAATAAGATAAAAATACTGTCTCAGTTCATTTCATTACCCATACTATATATAAATTAATTTCATGATGATTGGTTGAACCGTAAAGGTGCCAAGATGTAAGAAGAACACACGTACATACAAAGAGAAATAAACAGACTATATAAAATATTGATGCTCCTTTCCATTTTGGGTTTGGATGTGAACTCTTGCAAAAATAAGCTCGCATTTTTTACATTTGCATTCCACTGTCATGTTTTTGTATATATTATTAGTGTGTAAAAGTATACCATAAATAAATAAAGTAATACATTTATTGTACTCTTAATATTCTACCTACTTATGTATTTTTTTGTTTCAGCCATGTAAGGGTGGTGTTCGAGATATGCGCTCCGAACAGTGTTCAAATTACGATAGCAGACCGTTTCGTGGAAGATTCTACACTTGGGTTCCGTACATTGACGGTTCGTGTCTACGTTTATCTTAGTAACTTGTTACTAAACCAACATGTAAAATCAATTTATGCAGACATTTTATTAAAGTTGTCAGAAATAACAAAAGGTTCTGTTAGTATTTCATTCATGCAATTATGTTAAAATTACAAGATATATTTTGATAAATCTTGTCCTCTATATTAAGAGACACAATCGTTATCTAAGTTACTTTTGTTGGACTGATATATTTAGTTTAAGACTTTATTTATGGCTAAATTATAGAAACTGATGTACATGTGATACTACATACATAATACATGAAGGAAATATATGTAGATTTTTAATTTTTAACTTTTAGTTTAGTATAATAATATAGGCCGTGTGGTGGTGGTGGTGGTGGTAGAATAGGTCACTTCTTACTTTCCTGTGGGTGTTATAAGAGACGACTAAGTGAGGACAAGGAAATGGCAGCAGCGTCCCTCTTAAAACATCTCCAAAGTCTAACTGCGGTTACTAATCCGCCTGTTCAGCGTGGCAACTACTGGCAAAACCTCCAAGGGGATGGCTTATGTTCAGCAGTAAACAGTAAAGGGTTGATATGATGATGATAAAAATATTATATTATATATTATTATATGCGTTCAAATATGGTACAATCTATCTGAGCACAGAATTTTATTTAAATGCGTTTAGATTTTTAGATTAGTAGCATAATTTGGATGATAAATATTCAAACATTTGCATTTCTATTATTCAATAAGCACACGCATATTAAAAGCAATAGACAAGTTCAAGGAAATTCCTAATATAATTGCCTCTGAACTGAATATAGTACACCAGTTCTAGAAATTGTGTTATAATGAGATACGATGCAGTAAATATACGATTTCTACTGCCGTATATACAGGTTTAGATGGAATTCCTATAAGTTTCAATGTTCGTTCAGCATTTGCATTATTTCAATAATTAGTAACGAATGAGATTATCCCATTGAGATTTTATGGAATATTTAGAGTAATTTTACATAAAATAAAAAAGAAATTTAAGAATTTTTGTGCTATTTTCTCGAAATTATGTAGGATAAGACTGCAGACTGTAGGACAGACTGACTGTATTTAGGTACTATTTTTTGTGGACCTTGGAATGGCAAAGGAGCTGAGGGCTCATTTGATGGAAAGTGGTAACCGTCGTCTGTAAACATGAATAGTATCATGAAAACTGAGGAAATATTATGTATCCAACTATAATAATAACAGAAACTATTATATCTGTGTCTGATCCTGTAATTTTAATAATATATCCTTACCATTTAATTGAAACTCTGCCCTGTAACCGCAGCTACTTCGTACCAGACAGTATACTAATATTCTGCTTTGGTTAGAATAGTAGCTTTTTCATGTCATCATTTTTCATTCACTTCATAATTTCATTAATAGCAGCTCATTTCATTTCAATTATATGAACCTTTTGGTTTTTCAATAGAAAATTATTAGCCTACAAATTACATGTATTTATGTTATCAAGGGAATATAAGACAAATAATTTAACCAATAAATACAATAATATTACTTATTTTAAGAAACTAAAATTTAGTTCAGAAAGTATATTTATTTATAGTAATTATACTTTCTTGTCTTATTTTTTTTTATAAAATAGAGGGCAAACAACAAGTATGCGGATCACCTGTGGTAAGTGATTACCGCTATCCATAAGCAACTGTAAACAAATTATAGGTGTATTGCCGGCTCTTAAAAAGAAGTATGCTCTTTTTTATGGGCTAAATTTATTGTTAATGTTATTAAAAATAAGTTGCGGGTCATATTCTATTAATATACCAAATTGCTGACACGGAACTCATCTGAGACATAAAATTTTAAATAAATTATTTTATTTGGCAGGTGACTCTCCTTGTACACTAAACTGCAGACCTCTCGGTCAACACTTCTACGCATCACTAGCACTGGTTGCAGATGGAACGCCATGCACGCGACCTGGATTCAGAGCTATATGTGTGCAAGGAGCTTGTAAGGTGAGTGTAACATGGATTATTTTTCTGAGTTCATTTTCATATATTTGTTATGTTCGGATGCTGTGTCTTATTTTTCTAATGTAAATGAACTATTTTTTTTTTAATAATAGGACCTTATTCCGAGGAACTTTGTGTGTATTAAATTCGTTATTTGTAATTTATAGGCTAAAAGACTTTTCCTTAATTATTTATAAATATAATATTATTGCTGTGTGGTCCCGGCATAGAATAGGCCACCCTTTTCTTTTCCGTGGGTGTCGTAAAAGTCGACTAAGGGAGAGCAAAGGAATGGGCAGCAACGTTCCTCTTATAACATCTCTAAAAGCCTAACTGTGGCTGCCAACCCACCTGCCAAGCGTGGCAACTACTGGCAAAACTTCCCTTATAGGGGAGGATTATGTCCAGCACTGGATAGTTAACGGCTGAAATAATAATAAAATAATATTATATAAAACTTGTAATACAAAAGTTTCACGCATTTGATATATTTAGATTGTATTACTCGCACTGATAAGTCTATCTGATCTGATTTAATCAGGTTCATATTTACATCCCTAGTTCTTGCATTTGCTATGTTTAATATAACGAAAAGGGTTACAAATGTCTTCCGTTATTTGAACATGACTTTTATATGGGTTCCACTTGAATGTTGTCAAGACATATAGTAACGAATTAACAATTCTAATGTGATAGAGAGTTCGTGTACAATTGGCGATAATATCGCACTTAGTAACTTAGTCTTTATACTGTAACTGTACACAATTCTCTAGTTCCTATTTTTTTTAGAATTAATGAAAGAAAAATGTCTCTCTACATTCTTTGAGATTTTTTTTTTTAATTTTCTATTGATGGCTATCAATAAATAATGAAATGTCTGAAAAATAAAAACGGTCAAGACGAGCAACTTGGATTAAATTTAATAATTAAAAGATTGAATAGATAGTAATAGATAATACTGTAATTTTAATAACAGGGATTATTTAAATATAATGAATGTTATTTTAGTACTCGTAGATTGACTTGACAGAGGAATTAAATTTGACTATTTCCAAGTAGCAGATCTTTTATCTACCTATCATTCAGCCCACAATAACACTAACTTACGCTACTTATATTTCAAATATTATTTTTATGCTACATGTTATGACAATTTAAAATAAATATTTTATTGTTTAGTCATTTTAATATATTTTTTTTAAATAATGGTTCACTTAATGTAACTTAGTCGCCTTTATTATGATATAGGTATAACTTTAAGTACTTTTACTGTCAAGTGATTTAAATACCTAAGCTTTCTTTAATAAAAGAGATCATCAAAAATGCAAAAGTAAGAATCTTTTGTTTTTAAAAACATATTTTTAATTTGATATTTGAATTGATACACCAATATTTCTGGACTCTGTAAATGGCTTGTGGTGGTGGCGTGGTTGGACTGCGTGCATAATTAGCTACTTAAGCAGTTCAACTATTAGGAGTCAACTATTATTTTGCATTGTAATAAAACCGCGGATTGTTTATTGAATAAATATGAAGTTGTCTGCTCTATAAACTATTCAATCGATGCAACATTGTGCGGTAGTGGATAGCAAGGACGGGTGCGTTGCAGTCGTAAATTATTTAGAGTATTATTATTGCCTATTATTACGTGATAATGATTCGTTTGTCTATCTACTTAGAGTTTATTGTCCATTATTTTAAAGCTGTGACATTGGTCTACAGCATTTATGAAACTGTAAAATAATCAAAACGGTTGATGGATTTGTTCTAGATGACAAAGATAAACAAATATAAATTAACTAATTTTAGTTGAATAGTTCAATATCAACATCATTTTATGTATACATTGTCAAGTTGAAGATGATCTTTTGTGATAGTTAATTTGATTATTTAATATGAAAAAAAAAAACTAATTATGCACTAGATAGATAGAACATGCTTTATTCTTATTAATGTTATAAATATAAAAGTGAGTTTGTTTCTTTCTTTATAGCGCCTTAATGACATAACCAATCACTGTAAAATTTAGCACACACGTAGTATATGGTATAGTATATATTCTGCATAATTTTTATATAAGCGGCTTTTTATCCTGGTAAGTGAATATATCCCGGACACGCAGACGAAGTCACGGGCAGAAGCTAGTGCTAAATAAACTAATCTAGTTCGGATTATATTATATATATCTATTACAAATAATAGGTAATAACGTACAAAATATACTAATTATTAATTCAAAATATAGGTATTCTTTTGTGATTCAAGTCATTGTAAGAAATTAAATATTACTTTAGGCTATTATAAATTTTGCAATAACATCATCAAAACATGGTCCTAACTAAATTGTCATTAAAACCATAATTTACAATCACTTAATACTCACAGACTGCTGGTTGTAACCTATGTATCACGGTTCCATAAACAAAATTACCTATTCAAGATACAACAAAGTTATACTATATAAGGGAGTCTATATAAATACAAGGTGTTAATAACACCTTTTACTGTAACCTTTACACATATAAAGCTTGTGCCTCATTCAGATATTCTGCAATTTTAAATCATAGCGCGATATTATAATGTTGTCTAATTTTTCCAGATCATACAGATAATCTGTATTATTATCCATGTGTTTTGATCGTATAATACGAGTATGTAAAAATCTATTATTAGGTATGTTGATTAATAATCATGTATTCATAAACAAATAAATTCTGTTTATAATATAATCTATACTATTATATAATTAGCCATGACATATATATTTTGATGTATGTGATTTATGTATGTATAACTTATAGTCCGCCATGTACACATATTTGTACTAATGAATATTTTTATGATATTTATATATAGTAATTTTTATGAGTATTAAATTTGTTATCTCTAAAATATTTATTTCTCCCTCTATTCTCTCTGTTAAGCGTAACGATTGACTGGTAGAGAATGCCATCAGATATTAAGTCCGCCCTCTGAACATATTTTAATGTGTGTAATAAATAAATAAATACATGCTGACATTATTTTATTTCCCCGTCTTTCTGATATTATTATATATTAATAAACTAACATTGAAAAATTTATTTATGATTTTGGCATTATAAAATATTTCTAAACTCTAGAATTAATTTTTGGTAGATTTATGTCTACCTGGTATAACAGTAAACTAAAAATATTCGAAATGATGTTTAATTGAGCTGAGTATGTATGTGGTAAAGTAGTTCAGATTCTATAAAATTTATGGTGTGAACCTTATGAATTCCACAATAACGCAAATAGCTACATATTAGGAAAAATAAGGAGATTAGAAGGAGTATTAGAAACTGTATTTACTTATTTTTCGTACTAAATATTCTTAATTTAAAAAACAAACTGTCGTTCATCAACAATCCAAAGATTTAGATCACAGTTTGTTCCGAGAATCTCTAACATGGCTAATACCATATAAGAATTTCTGACATATTTCGTAACAAACAACAGACTAGAGATTTTACTAAAAACTCTACAAATATTCACAAGAAAAAAAAAATTCTTACTAATATAAATATGTGCTCTGTTTAGTTTTTACATTTTTAGTTTAGACATAGCTATCGCTTAGCAATCCTAGTGTAAACAAGTCAAAATCCGCTACATGCACTTTTTACCTTATTTGGAATAAGTAGTTCCTTTGTAATCCGTAAATAGATTTATGAAATTAATTGTTATTGTTATAATATTTACAGTGTATTTGTATGGACTGTGTTTATAGTATGAAATTAGAGATGTAGTCAAAGTTTCGAATTAGTAAAATTTTTATTTTTGTTAGTGAATTAGTTTGCTTGTACCTAACTAAATTTCATTTTAATGATTTTTTTTTGCTTGAATTGTTGTATGGTTATATGTAAAATATTTCGTACTTTGCTTACAAATAGGTCAAGATATAAAAAATAAATAAGTATATTCCTTAGCGTGAATGCTATTACTATATCATATTAATTATTAAAAAATATTTAACATCATATTATAAAGTACTGGCGATCCGACCTGGCTTCGCACAGGTAGATAGATAGAAAAATAAATTAGTATTTTATTATTATAATAAGCAAATTTTTGGTACTTTGATTACTATTTTTTTTAAATAGTATATAACGTACATTACTCGCCGATAATGCTTTCTATAAGTAAATTTATAAAATTTGTTAGGTGATTTTAGAGTTTATTCATTGTAAACAAACAAACATACTAAAAAAATCTAATCTTTTATTTTTATAAAATTTTATAAAAATTTATTTTATATTTTTTTATTTTTTTAATATAGATTAACTATTCGTTATCATAAATGAAAGCACTATTCGGAATCAAATAAATATGTCCTAATTTGTATAAAATATGTTACTTATTAGTATGTAGGCAGGTTAGCGTGAAACTAGTGTAGATAGGTAACGTAATTGTAGCGAGTGACGCCGGCGCCGGTCGGTATGCGGACGATCGGCGATTACTGCCACCCACCGCCCCAGGCGCGGCCCTATTCTAGATATATTATCATCTTAACACTCAAAGATGATGCGATATACAAATATCTATTCAAATTTCTTGTTATTTGTCGACTATTTGTTAATTTATAAATGATCAAAATATACAGATGAATAAAGATTTAAGTGAAATTACAGAATACTCGTACGTAGGCTATATAATACCATACCATATCAGTCGTTAACTTTCCATTGTTGAACATAGGCTTCTTCCATAAAAGGGGTTTTTGCTAAGTATTTACCACACTTAACAGGCAGGTTGGTAACCGCAGTTAGGCAACACTTAATGAAGTATAATATAATAATGTAGTCCTCAGGAGTGGCAACGCATGAGTAGTATCATGGGCATTACAGTACATTCTGCGAGGTTCGTGGTGCTTTTCATATCTATAGGCGATGGTTACCACTTTGTCACCCTGGTGGGCTATCTCCTTTTTATTGTTCTAAATATCATTAAAAAACATTTGACATTACCATATCAGCAGTTAAATG